TACCAGCATTGTGCCTTCCTTCTGGAGGGTCTAGAAGAGAATATTTCCTTGTTTTTTTTCCAGTTTTCAGACGTAACTCACCTTCCTTAGCTTGTGCCCCACAACTTCCTCCATCTTCATGGCCAGCAGCCTTTCTGAACATTTTTCCATGGCTACACCTCCCTTTGACTCTAAACTCAGCTGGAAAATGTCCTTCCCTTTTAAGGGCCCCTGTGATTACACTGGGCCCACCTGGACAATCCAGACTACTCTCCCTATCACCTCATCTCAGGATCCCCTTTTCCCACACCACTCAGGCACCCATGTGGCTGTGACACTCACCTTGGGTAATATTTCCTCTCGTGAGCAATTAAAGGTTCAAGACACTTACAAATGTCTTTTTGTTTTTCTTCCTTAGTCTTTCCACATTCAGTACATCTGGTGAGATTATATGAATCCTGTTTATTTGTGACCCAGCACTAATCTTTAATAATGTATCATGGGTTTAAAAGGCTAACAAATAGACAATTTAGAAGACAAATCCTCTAAGATTTTTTTAAGATTTTTGTCCTAAAATGTCTGTCATCCCTTTTGTCCTGTACAGTAACATTTTACAGGTGGCTAACCTGTGGGGAGGAAGGACACATTGTTCTGCCACCACACTCCCCTCATTCACACCAATGTGCTGATCTCCTAACCGAGGATCTATGTTCCCAGCTTTGCTCACTTCCTCCTCCTTTCCATTCACTATTCTGTTCCCAACACTTCCTTCATTCAGCACATCAGGAGTTCATGACCACATTCTTCTCTAAATGGAATGGATATTGTGCTTCTAACGTCTAATAATTGTTCTCAGTGCATATGCACACACTCACCTACATGTCTCCCCATCCATGTCTTTATTTTCCTAGAATCTACCAGAGGAATCAGTTCCATGATGATGATGATGATACTGACAGTGATGACAGGGGCCTCTCAAGGACTCTGATAAAGAGGGAATCAATGAAGAGAGGGAATCTTTGCAAAATTACCCCAGAAACAGGCTTAAAGGTAAATAACTGCTACAGTGTTTAATAAAATTGACTAATACTTAACTATTTTTAAAACTTTATATCACTGTATTTAAAATTTTAAGGGGAATTTTCATTCACCACTAACGAAGTTTTGACTTTAGGACCAAAATACAAGAGGATTTCTATCTTCTAACAAATTGTCCACTAGCCTTTTAAACACGTGATTCTTTAATAAAAAATAAGAAAGTTTAGTGCTGGGCTGCAAATAAGCAGGATTCATATAATGTCACCAAACAGTGAATGTGGAAAGACTATGGAAGGAAAACAAAAAGCCATTCATAACGGCTTGAACCTTACGTTGCTCACAGGAGAAAATGTTAGCCAAGGTGAGTGTCACATCAACATGACGCCTGAGTGGGATGGGGAAGCTGATCTTCCTTATCATAAATTTATGCTGATTTGTTAGATGCCAACACAATTTCCTCACTGGATTTGCTTCTAATAAGTGTGGAACAGTTTAGGCTTTACAAAAAGCAGACTAAACAATTTTTCCCTGCAGTCAGATCTCTGGACTGAATGTCCCCACAAGAAGGATATGCTTACATATCATAGGAAACTCTTCCTGAGAAACGATAGGCTTTTCGAGGGCAGAATTGCAGGTCCCCCATGGAGGGCAGGAGGCGAGCTAGAGGGGACACCAGAAATACAGCAGGAATGAGTTCAGATACTGCTGCTCAGGTAGCCAAAGACAGCATTGCTATCTCTAAGGATATGACATCCTTCCAAAAGTTCTGTGAGTGAAGGAGCCTGTGAACACTAAGCAGGTTGTTAAGACACAGCAGCACATAATTATCATCACAAGTCAATTATAGCATGTTTGGATATTTGGAAAATAATTAACCCACTGCTCTTTGAAAGTGCAGCAATAGCAATAGAAATAATAAAGACTGAGCCGTATTGGAGACAACAAACAATAAACAATTCTAAATCTGCAGGATTCCTTGACGATATGCAAGCAATGAGCTAGATGTGTGCTGCAGATATCTCTTACTGCAGGGCTTACTCCTGCAAAACATAGAACTACTTTTCTCAGCAGAGGGAACCAAGTCAAGATCCCTAATCTTGAGAGGTTTACTATATGGCAGGGAAGATCAGACAAGTACATACACCCAAATATGAATAAATGCAATAAAATATTATGAAGTGTGAATGGAGCACAGAAGAAAGAGAAATTCCTTTCACCTGGGATCTAGAGAGACTTCTTCAGAAAATGTGGCTTTGTTGATGGACAGATAAATGAGTGGAATTTTGGTAGAACAAGATGTAAGGAAGGGAACTTAATAACTGATTCTAAAATTCATATAAAAATACCAAGGATCCCAAATATCTAAAACAACTTTGAACAAGAAAAACAAAGTTGGAAGACTTACACTGTCTGATTTTCAGACTTTTTTTATATAGCTACAGTAATCAGAAAGTATAGTATTGATGTAAAACAGGAAAATAGAATAATGAAACAGAATAGAATGTTCAGAACTAAACCAACACTTATAGGACAATTGATTCTCAGTAAGGATGCAGTGGAGGAAGGGTCTTTTCAACAAGCAGTGCTGGAACAATTAGATATCCGTATGCAAAAAAAAAATGAACTTTGATCCATACCTCATAACATATACAAAAAATAACTCAAAATGGATCATAGATCTTAATAGAAAATCTAAAATTATAAAGGATCTAAGAGAAAAAAGCATAGGCTTAAACTTTATGACCTTGAGTTTGGCTAATATTTCTTTACTATGACACCAAAAGTATAATCTATTTGAAAAAGAAACTCATATAGTGAACTTTATCAAAATGAAGACACTTCAAAGCTCTTCTTAAACACTGCTAAGCAAATGAAAAGACAAGCCATAGACAGAAACTATTTGCAGATCTTATATCTGACAAAGGATTATCAGATACAAAGAGAGGTCTCTCTTTGTATCTGATCCAGAATAAAGAACTCTCAAAATTCAGTAATAAAGCCAACACCTGAATGAATGAGCATGGCCAGAAAACACACTTCACTAAAGATATCCAGATGGATAACAAGCATATGAAAAGATGCTGAATTCCATTAGTCATTAGTGGAATGCTTTTAAAAACCACAATGAGATACTACTACACATACAAACTAGAAATAATACAATTTGAACGACTGACCTCACAAAGTGCTGGCAAGGAAGTAGAGGAACCAGAATTGATATACACTATGAGGAATTTACAATAATGCAATCATAACGGGTAACTTTTTAGCAGTTTCCTTAAAAAAGGTAAACACCTATCTACCATATGACCCAGGCATTCCTCATCTGGGTGCTTTAGAAAATAAAAGCATATGTCCATACAAAGACTTGTAACCAAATATTCATTGCAATTTTATTTATAATAGCTCAAGTTGTAAATAACCCATGCATCCATCAACAAGTACATGGATAAACAAATGATGGTCTATGCAAACACTATTCACAATAAACTACTCAGCAGTAACTCAGCACTAAACAATGCTCTGCTATAATATAAATAAGCTAATACTGCCCACAGCAACACAGATGACTCTCAAAATAATTATGCTGAGTGAAAGAAGTCAGACAAAATAGAGTAGATACTGCATGAATCCATTCATACAAGGATATTAAAAATGCAAACCAATATGTTGTGATAGAAAGCAGATCAATGGTTTCCAGGGGCAGAGAAGATGAGGGAGGGAGGGACAAAATAAGGCAGGGGAAAAACTTTATAGGTGTTGGGTATGTTCACTGTCTTGAGTGTGGTCATGGTTTCTTGGGGATATACTTATGACAAAGTGCACTAAGTTGTACACTTAAATAGGTGAAAATTATTTTGCCAAGTGTACTTGAAAGCTGTTTTAAGAAAAAAGGCACTTCAATCCTGACCTACCTTAGTGCCTGATCAGAGTGAGATGATCATTCCCTCACCCTGTCTGACTGATGGGAAGATAGA